TAACGACGAGCCAAAATCTCGTCGTTGTTTAATAACGACAAGAAACTCACTCGTTGTTATGTAATAACGACAACATTATTCTTAAGAAACAAGATATTTAACCATCGTTATTATTTATACAAATGTCAAAATCATAACTTATCCAATAACGATAAGGTTTTTATAAGAACAACAACTACAAACACAAGAAATACATTTTAGGAACGATACATCATACATCTAGGTATTAAAATTAAAGTATTGACAGAATAATGTGTTATTGATAATAACTCTGCTTCCCTCGCAATAAAGTACATGTGCATTTAACAACTCACATACCAAACTTAAATTGACAAATATCTTTTACATATAACAAATATTGTAAGTTGGTACAATGTAGATTATAGACAAATAAAATACATCTTAATGCCTAAATATAAAAATACATTTGCATTACTAACTATACGAAAAATTGAATACTGAATCACAATATAGTAACTGGATGGGACTGCTGCAACTTTTCATCTTTAATTGCCCCCAATTCATGGCCTATTTGACGCCTTCCCTCAATTTCAGCTTTTCCAATTCCAGTAATTCATACGTAGTACTACGTATGATTTGGAGAAGCTGAATCTGAACCCCCGAAGCCAACGCGGCACTATAGGATCCAGAAATAATGAGTTCGGAATCTGTTGTTACATTAGGGAGGCATACTGATTTAGTACATCTGGATTTCCTGTAGCGTTACAAGAACATAATTTAGAGAGCACATACTCCCCATCAAAGCTTCACACAAATAATTTAACGAAGTTGATTCAAGCAATGCACTGACATTAGGATAAGGATGCAGATTCTGTTTAGCACTAGGTGAGAAAAGATACCTCAACATTGGAAAGTGAATATGTGATGGATCTTTATCCATTATTTCTCAAAGTTACTCCTGCAATATAGAACCATAACAAAACAAAACAAAATCAACAAATACAATGTAGACTCACAATAGATACACATAACATGGCCTTCAAACAATAAACTAAACTGAAACCATTCAGATTAAGTTCCTGGGCATGCATTTTTCAAAGTGGAACACATCAATCCAACAAATACCCTTAGTTTCAAGTTAATACAGTGATCAAACTGGGCAGATATAGTAGAATGTTATATCTCATCAGTTACATCATAACAAATGAAGGAAGACCAAATGCTAACACTTATAGCAATGGATGAATGGATTGCAAATTCATCTCATCAGAACCTCATATTTAGGCTTTCTACATAGCAAAATTTATCAGAACAATTAATTAGCATTTTGGATTACACTGAAAGTGGTAATGCTGAGTATGCTTGTAATGCTGAGTTTGCTCAGCATCAGAACCTCATATCTAGGCTTCACTAATTAAATCTTACCCAATCATCCAGATAATCAGCCTAACAGATTTGCTCCATGTCCGATGCATTAGCTCATTAGCATAACAGCCTCTGTTAACAGAGTTTCTAACACTTCTTTTCTGAAATTTAAAATTTGTGTCAATGAATATAAACAAAGTAAAATATATTCTTCAATCTATTTAAGAGAGCTAGCCTTACCCTTTTTTTAAGAGAGCTAGCCTTAAAATCATAATTGGAAAATATCTCCTGTATAAAGTTATAAGCCATCTCCACTTCTCCTTGGCAAGTTCATTAGGTGGGACACTCATGTAACAAGCTTTTGAGGATTTTGCTTTATTAGTCATATCATAACGTAACTAACAAGTCCGCCCTTCTATTTGTCCACAACTATTTCATATGCAAAAAAGTATTATACTTGTAAACTTGAATATTGGCATTACTAAAGACATCCTAAAGTAAGGAAAATTATTCAATACCATTGAATGTATGCATCAAGTCATTGATTGGTTATTTTCAATATAATCGTACACAGCAATTTCAAAGATTAATACCAGAAAACACTAAAGATTGTGCAAAAAAATAAGTGTAGATTATAAGGTTAACGAGTATAGTTAAAAATTACCTAGAACAAGAAGGGTACTATTGTGTGACCAAACAATAAGAGTACAGAGCAAGTCTGATATCATATTTGTGAAGCATATTAGAGAGTTGGTATGCACACTTCCCTCTAAGTACTGCATATTTGAGCAGCCCCAAGTAATAGAGTATTACTAACAACATCTAGCGTAACTCTTTGGAGTTGAATATATCAAGCTCATGAAATTCATATTCTGAAGAAGTACATTGATTCTCTTAGAGTCTTAGGATCAACTTGGACTCAGGGATAATAGAACTTTCATAAACAGAAGTTTTCTATAAATAAAAAGTTTTTCTTGTTTATTGTGTTATCTCTTGTTTCAAAGGATTTAAAGTTAAATGAAAAAGAAATAAAAGCGAACAAAAGAAGCTACTCCGTAATAACATGTTCATAGAAGAATTTTAATTTCCCTCAAATTTCTCAAATTATCAAAGCAACAATGAAATCATCTTTACATAATTCGTTTGAGGAATTGAATTTCTGATATTATATGGATTTGTTTAAAAGATAAAGATCAAGAAACGCTAAACTGATTGAGACCAAGCCCAAAAACATTACAGACTAAAGAACGAAATCAACTTGAAAAAACAACAAATTAATCGAGCAAGAGAAAACTGAGACTGAATGAGCAAGATTGAGTCGTGTTTTTAAGCAAATCTGCGATTGGATAGTTTCGAAATTAGTTTACGCAACAACCTTATAAACGGGCGAAAATTGAGAAAAAACAAAAGTAGATTAATACATCGTAAAGATTAAATTTACCTGGAGAAGGGAGATTTAGCAAACGAGCGAGAGAACTGAAGGAGAGAAGTGATCGATAAGATTTAGAAATTTCTGGCCGCCTGGTATGTTTTGCTTCAATCGTCTGCGCAATTGTTTATTTCCATTCTTGAGCCGCTATTCTAGGGTTTTTATTTTGAGCGGCAATGGAATGTTTTTCACTTTTTCGGCAACTGTAAAAGGGAGCCAAAATAATTGGGTGGAAAAGTTTGGCGCACTGGTAAAATTCAATCTAAAATTTTTCAGTCTAAAAACGATAACCAAAAGAATAAGTAATAGCAGTTTTATTTCTTTTCGGGTCTCATTTAATTAAAAAATCAGTAATAAAATAAATTTGAAATAACGACGATTCACGCTTAGTAACAACGACACCTTTTCTGTGGTGGTTAAAAATAAAATGAATAACGACAACACTACTAGTTGATGTTAAAGCTATACTTTTAACGACGGTTTACAAGATTCGTCGTTATACTTTGGTCGCTAAAAAGACTTTTTTTAGTAGTGTCTGATCTGTAGTTCTCATCGGCTATCAGATGTCCAAGTTTATCAGCAACTCTCATGGTGCAACTCTGATCGACTTCAGGTAAGAGAACTCTGATGGAGCAGTTCTCCTAGAGCAAGTCTGGTCGAGCAGTTCTGATGCACTTTTGATCTGATCCAAAGCAGAGCAACTCTGATCGTCGACTACACTATTACTTACAATTGAAAAATTCTAATACATAAAATCTAATAGGGGGTACTCTAACTTTCTAATCCTATAGCATCATCAAAATCTAGTTACATTTATTCCTTACACCTTTCTCTCTGCACATTTTGAGTCTCAATTATATTTGTCTCAGACCAACGCTGCCATAATGCAGGTTATTTATTGCATTTATTTTTAGAATTTTTTAATATATAATATTGACAACTATATATATATATTAAATGTTTGCATTTTTGTATTTTGTAGGTGAAGCCTTCATGTAGATACGAGTTTGAGGTGTTTGATGATAAATGCAGATCATATGTTGTAAACTTAAGGCAATGCACTTGCACATGCCGTGAATTTCAGCTTGATGGTTTCATATGTGTTCACGCGGGTGGCAGCCATCCGTTATCGATCAGGTCTTTCGTGCTATGACTACATTTTCAGATTATTATACTAACAAGAAATGGGTTGCAGCCTATGAGGGTATTATTCATCCTATTGGTAGTCCAGATGGGTGGGTTGTTCCACATGAAGTTTCTGCAGATATTTGTAAGCCACCATCGTGTTCTAAGAGGCCACCTGGAAGACCCAAAAAAAGGAGGATACCGTCTACGGGGGAACACGTACGCCGTCAAAAGTGTACAAGGTGCTTCATGGTTGGTCACAATCGCAAAACATGTAGAAATCCCATTCCCCGCAAATGAATATGAAATTTGTCATTGCTAAATATTTGGGCAATTTTGTCCGTGTCATACTGTTTTGGATTATTTACTTGTCGTTTGGATATTACTCATTACACGACTTTTATAAGTATTTATCAATAAATGCAATGCATTTTGTCTTTTAATACATTATGGGATTTGCGTTTAAATACCATACCATTTGACGTTACGGTTGGATGTTATTCGTTACACGACTTGTTTAAGTTTTTAGTGCACATCCTTGTACTCCAAAAAGTTAAGTTGTTATGGAACGTTTTGTGTTACTATATTTTTTTATTGAAACAAGTGTTACGTACAATTTAAGATTATGTCATGCTATGATCAAAATTCATGTTTTTCAAAATTAGTGCAGTGGGAATGTATTATTACGCCAAGTATGACTCATACGACTATTTCATTTAACGCCAAATAACAATCATGTCAGTCAAATTTTTACATATCTTGACCTATTACGTCTACGACTTTGTTGTCACTTGCACTCCACAACGTTAGTTTGTAATGTAATTCTTTGTGTTTCTTTAGTTTGTGATTTGAAACTAGTGCACTAAAAAAAATTGAGACTTCTGAACTACAAATTCTTAAGTTTTTTAATTGAAAGCAATGCTTAAAAGATTTCATATGGCGCCATGTACTACATAAAAAGAGTTTTAATTTAAAATCATTGCAATTAAAATTAACTTTATTGCCATAAACATATTCAGATTAAGGCATAACTCATTTGCTGCAGTCAATTCGTAGATTATGCCAGGTATTGCACACAGAAAAAATATTGCGCAATGTATTGCAAACATATACCCTTTTACTGCACAACTACTACAAGGTAAACTTAACTTCAGCGGCATGAACATTTTCATGACACGACATAAATCATACATTGCAGTGCACTTTTATAAATAAACATTATAATGCACTTCTTCATTGCATCACTTTCAAGCTTCTTCATATATTCTGTCATATATATGCAATGAGTAATCTCATATTCATTCAACATTCCATATTTCTAAAAATCATTAAACAATTAAATTCATGTTCACCACAAACAAAACTCCACATATTCAGAACAAAAACATTCATGATTAAAAATTCAGGAATCCCTTCAACATCACAAATTTAATAGCCCAAAACTATAAGTTTTAAGCTTCACTTCAAGTCAACTCCATAGTAGTGTAGAAGCTCAATTGTAAATTTCTTCCTGTATAGCACCACATCACTTGCTTTGACTTCTAAAACATCCCTTCCCATCATCAAATTTTCTGCCATCTTGAGTATAAAAATTCCGGAACTGTACCTGCACATACAAAAATTTGTCACTTATGTTTCTTTATACTTGGTATGGTACTTAGGCTATATACATTCATTTACTTACCCATCTTTCTGTCGTGGGCACCGAAGAACGAAATTGACTTCCAATTTTCCATCTCCAATTGGTCCTTCTACTCGATCATTGTACACTCCGAAGAAATCCATCAACTTCGCTAAGTGTACTTCCATACATTGCATGTATTGACCCCATTTAATACTAACCTCTCCGGTACGATTCCTCGAATCATAAACCTGGATTTGCTTATGACCAATGTCAAGTACTAGAAGGACCCAATGATGTCCAAAGTCCAATGGCATATACACATACTCGCACTCGGCCCAAGGACGTCCGTATTCCACACTAGTCCCAATAATGACACTCTTTATATTTTCATTGAGTGCACAATCTTCAAAAGAACATTTCTTTTTAGAGATGTCATCACACTGCTGCTTCACTAGGGCCATAAATTTGCACTCAGTAGTGCTGAATTTCTGCTTTAGCCCATACTCTTTAGCCTTTACGCGCAAGTAGTACATCACCACATCAATGTGCTGTAATGTAATAGCAACCACGACTATTAAATTCATATTATATGCAATCATTACTTGCACAACTACAAATAACAAAATAAATTCACATGTATTAAAAATTACCGAGTCTTTGATCCAATTGAAATCAAACCAAAATGCATAATACCATGTTTTCTTGGACACTCTACCATCTGCCCAAATTTCTTTGCTATTTCATAATACAAGATCTTCATACCCTGCCTTGTATTTTCGCACTACTTCGGTTTTATGATTTTTTAGCAAGCCTTTTAGCATGAAAGAAGCCGTCAACTCTTCTAAGTCCGCTCGAGGAGGATGCTTTGGATCCCGAGGTAATGGCCCTCTAAATGCTATGACATCTTCGGTCTTCTTCTTTTTTTTGGCATTCACATGTCCTGACAACGTTAACCTGTCAGGAACTTTTGTCTCTCTTCTTGGTCTCTTATGAGTTCCATCAACCCCAAGTACCTGACATGAATATCATATTAGTTCTAGTTTAACACACTTTTGGAAATTAAATTTGTTCCGTGTGTATCCTCATATTCTGCCTTTATGTTAATATGAGGTTACATGTAACACCCCGGCCCCACCGGACCCGAGGTAGTTACTCCGGACCAATAGTACTGTCCCCACAAACCACCACGAGCCTTTACCGCGCACTTTGTCCTCACTCATGCGCGCCCTGAGAAACTTCCCAGGGGGGTCACCCATCCCAAGACTACTCCTGAGCAAGCACGCTTAACTTTGGAGTTCTTAGGTAATGAGCTCCCTTAAAAGGAGATGCACCTCTGTTGATATGAGTAGTACTATTAATCCGTTTATATTAAATCTTAAGTGTTACAATCACCCCCACTTAGGAACGCAACGTCCTCGTTGCGCCCATAAACCAATCTTAAATCTCAATCAAATCCCAGAATCTACCCCCGCTAAGTGCCCGCCCGATATCCAACGGGTCAGCACACTGTCGCAGGGTTGCTCTGATACCAACTTGTAACACCCCCATTTTTCCCACCAAAATAAAATAACATTTTGAAATGAAAACATCTTTATTATAAAACATATTTAGAGTACAGCGGAAGTCTTTAATGGAAAAACAGGTGTGTCACCGCCACACTCAACCTATACATGATTGAGTGCACAGGCTATCCACCATCAATTCAAGTAGCCATCAGATAAAACTTAAAACAAGTTTATGGATTACAAATTTAAACAAAAATAATTAATCAAACGTGTGCAACTAGCGGAACACTCGGGCAGCAAGTACATCAATCTTCATAATCATAATCATCTGTACAATAGAGCAAAGAGAAAAAGAGAAAAGAGACAAAAATTAGCTTTAGAGCTAAGTAAGATTCCACCCGAACCCGTAAAATAATATAATTTGGAAAATAGGTTTTTGTATATGTATATATATATATTGAAAAGTAGTCTCTCATATTTTCAAAATGGTTTAATGTCATAAAATAATTTCCACAATAGATAAGATCATCCTTCAATTCCTTCAAAAGTAATACTTTAGATTCTTTTAAGAGTGGGCGAAACTCAAGATTCCTCGAGCCCAATGAGTCATTGTTATCTACGACTCATCCCGGAATTCCGGCTCCCACCGACCACCAATTGGAAGCTGAATTTCTACCTTAAGTGTGCACACCCTCTAAAAGGGATTCCAAGCCCTCCGAGTAGTAAGAAACCCAAGTAGGCGGGATGTTTTCTACCACCTACTCACAAGGGACATTGTCCAGGGGTAAATTAGGTAACTACTACTACGACCACCAAAGGATCTTTGATCCTCAAATAAAAGCCCGGGATGTCTACCGGAGTATGTCATTGCCGGACTGGTTACCGACCCAAATAAATTTCACCAAAAGTAGTAGTAGCCCTAACCACCCACGCCTCGTGTTTCTCTCGAGACGTAAGAATATATATTATGAAAACTTTAAGTTTTCCCCAAATCATTCTTGTCACATTTTCTCAAAAATATCCTTTGTAATAAATATAAATCCACCAATATTCTTTAATAAAAAGAATATACATATAATCATCCATAAAAGGTAATAATCCACCAATATTTATATAGTCAAAATATTCTATCCATGTCAAACATATAATTTCCAATTCATAAATAATTCACATAGTGCAAATATTGCATACATATAAGTACGAGGCAAAACATTTTGGTTGACATAGAACTTACCTTAAATTGCGATAATCTCCTTAATAAAATCTCTAGCTTGATCTTCACTTGAATTCTCCTTCTAATATTGATCAAAATTCTAAATCAATAACTATTCTATTATTTCGTTATTTCTTTTATATCCAACCTTTAATTACTTTAACTTCATAATTCCTTCTTTAAATATAAATATTAAATTAATAAATCTTACTAACTGTTTATTTCCAGTTCATTCTTATTATTTTCTTTAATTATAATAACCCAACTCAGTTTTTCTTAATTTGTTTAGTTAAATAGTTTACTAGTCCAATTATATTAACTACATAATAATTTCATTATTTCGAATTTAAATAATCAATTTCAGTTCAAAATTCAGTTTACATAATTTATATAATTTATTTAATAACCCTTTTAATAATAACTTGACTTAGGCAATAATTCGAAATAATAATCATTAATGATAATCTAATCTCAATAACAACTTTAATTAGTTCAATAGTTTATTTCTACTAACTAACCCAATTAAATTAATTTATCCAATCCTCCAGTTTTATTTATTTGACTCACTAATTTAATTGAACTAACTAAATCAAATAAATAAGTTTAATTATATCAATATAGCTAAATACGTTAATCTAATTCAATTAAGTCCAATAATCAAATTCTAATCTCGTTTTAATTTTCTATTTTTAATATAAATTCTAGAAATGTTATCAAGTCTATAAATTAACTAATTTATCCATTAAACTAATTGATTTAGTTAAACTAGTCCAATGAAGTCAATTAACTAACTTATTAAGTACACATTACTTAATTAATTTGTTTATATTCATCAACTAATTTTTATGAGTTCAAATAGTTTAATAATTTATATGGAGTCCAAATCACTAATAATCAAGGATAATAATTATTAATTTAATCACGCTAATTTAATTAGTCAACTAATTCAATAATTTATTTATTAAGTCCAAATATAGTCATTCATTTATAACCCAACTTTATTTTCTTTTCCTTATTTTATTACAAACATCATTTTTAGTCCAGAACATTATTTTCAATCTTAGTGATTTATTTATTTCACCATTAATATCAAAATTTCCTTATTTAATTACTTAACTAGTTTATATGGCTCAATTAAATTAAATAACTTAATCATCACTTTTATAAATTACTAATCATCCATAACTATAGTTTGGGTCTATACTTGACCTAGGTTGTCCAGATATTTATTTTAGAATTATTTCCTTTATTTATTCACTTAATTTCATATATCTATTAACCGGTTTAATTACAATTAAATATGCTAATTATAATTTTTATTAATTATAAATGGTCCCAAATGTCCTAGTTAGTCATATATTTAATCTAGCTTGCTCCCATATTTATTTCATAATTATTTTCGTCATTTAGTTAATTATTTACTAAATGTGTACAACTTGGCCCAATTACAATTAAATCAATTAAAAATAGCTGCAAATATTATTTTTCAATTATTCTTGGTCCGAATACGTATTTTTATACCAGGTATTTAATTTATATTTTTCCAGATTTTATTTATTTCATTTACTATTTTATTTTTAATTTTTTATTGAAAACGGGCCGAACCGGCCCAAATACGCGACCCGGCCCAAGAAGACTGGGATGTCTTCTTCCCAGCTCTTCTCCAGGTCGCGATTCCGGCGACCGGAATCCCAAAAACTCCGGCGAGCGATAACTTTACTTACAGGTAACGGATTTCAACGATTCAAGTTGCAAAATGATCCTCACGTCGAGACGAAGCTCCTCCACCCCTATCTACGGCCAATTGTCCGCTTTTGCTGAAGACCCATTTCCATGGCTTGCAACTCCGGCGACCTCTAGGATGCTCCGGTGACTACGAATCGGTCTGGAATTTATTGGGAAGTATTCCTAGACCTCTCACGACCCTTCTCTATCGTTTTTACGAAGTTTGATACGTAAAATATTATAGGCATAAATTTTCCGGCGAGATTATGTATATATATGTATATGTATATATAGCTTCTATTTCTCCGATTTGCAGTGTTTAGGATGGCTAAGAGGGTGTATTTATAGGTCTAGATGGTCCTTATGGTTTATTTTATTTATTTGATAATTGTATGAATAATAATAATAATAATAATAATAATAAAAATAATAATGTCTATACATAATGATAGGTTGGTAGTTGATGAACATGGCATGTGTATTGATCCCTGATTTGATTCCCATTTATATTGATGTTTCATTTTATTTTATTTTATTATTATTATTTTTAATTACTTAAATGTATTTTGAGTTTTACATATAAATATATGTACATAATGTATATACATTATTTGGTAGGTGATCTTAGCATGTGTCATTGTTTTATGATATGATATTTTCATTTATTAATTTGATGCTATTATTAGTAATTTATAATATTCTTACTATTTTTATTTATTTATTTATTTATTTACTTATTATGTCACCTATATTTTATCTGATTTATTTCCATTTTTTTTTGCGATGCTACATAAGTGTTTAATTCTATTGCATGTAGTGTGCGTATATTTTTATACACCAAGTATAAAAAAATATTTTGATCTTACTTTCATTTGATTTATCAGATATAACTTATCTGATTTATTTATTTATTTTTATTTCAAATTTTCAAGGTATCACATTCTACCCTCCTTAAAGAATGCTTCGTCCTCGAAGCATAAACTAAGACGCGAATTAAGTATGAAGATGAAGTATTATAGGTTTATAAGATATGACAACCTGCCCCCCTAAAAGAAAGGTTACGTCCTCGTAACCGAATATTTACCTTAATTGAAAAGTTCAGGATACCGTTTACGCATATCCTCTTCTGTCTCCCATGTTGCATTCTCGGTCAAATGGTTTGACCAAAGTACTTTTACCATCTTAACTGTCTTCTTCCTTGTCTCTCGGGTCTTAGTATCGAGAATCTCTATGGGTTTTTCTTCGTAGGATAATGTCTCATCCATTTCAATCACCTAATAATATAACGGTTAACTTATATTCTTTTCAATTTACATTTGGCTCATGTTAAGTCTAGGATTTCTTACCTCCGGATTGATGATATGTGACTCATCTCGAACATACTTCTTTAATTGTGATACGTGAAAGACGTTATGTACCTAGCATATATCGGTATGTTAAGAATGTATTTTAATCGTAGAGAAGTATTTGATTTCAAATCGGTTGTTACCTTATCCAACTCCGTGGGTAGAGCTAATCGATATGCCACTTTTCCCACCTTCTCTAGGAATGCCTCATAAGGCAAAATTCCAAGTGGCTAAGGTATGTACAAACATTATGTGCGAAAGTGCTCTTATGTGAAGTATGAATCCTCTCTATGATTGTTATGTACATTTTTATATATTCTTGTTACATAGCCTATGGAATCCTTAGTTGAACTAGGATCCTTAGGAGTAAAATATAGAAATTCTTACACGAATACTTTGTGTCATCAAAATATCATGGCACCAAGAAGAGACCCTGATAACACGCCCACCAATGCTGAGTTGGCACAAAGCGTTCAGCAACTGGCACAATTTATGCACACATTGGGTGCTACTGTGCTCCAGAACAACCAAAACCAGAACAACGGGAATGATGCCGCAAAACGAGTGGCATCTCGCAACCCTCCAAGCTTTCATGGGCAAGAAGATCCTCGTATCCTCGAGAATTGGCTCCGACTCTTTGACAAACTCTTCGACGCGGTGAGCTGTCCGGAAGAGCAAAGGGTTGACATTGCTGTTTACTATTTACAGCAAGAGGCAGATAACTGGTGGGTCTCATCAGGCCCAACTTTACGTCAACAACCTGACTTCAATTGGGAAGCTTTCAAGATTGCCATGAGGAAACGTTTTTATCCTGCACACATTCAGGCCACCATGCGTGATGAATTCATACATTTGAAACAGATGGGCATGAGTGTCCAGGAATATCACAATAAATTCGTGGACCTCGCGCCATTTGCGAAAACAATAGTGCCTGATGAAAGCACCAAAGTTGAGAAATTTATCTACGGATTAAACTATGATACGCAGAAAATCGTCGCTGTTTTGGGTTGCCAAACTCTGACTGAAGCTTATGATAGAGCTGCAGTTCACTATCGAGTTCAGCAACTACAAAGAGAGAGGAACCAGAAGATGAAGAGGGACGAAGATGGAGGTCGAGGAGAAAAGAGGGTCAGAGTGCACCCACCTACACAGCAACAAGAAGGGAGGAGGAGGAGAGATGACCAAGGTGGAAGAAATTTCCACGGTCAAAACCAACAAAATGATCGAAGAGTTGCTCCCAGAGATAGACACTTCTACTGCAAGAGGTGCGGGAGAGATCATCCCGGTGTTAACTGCGATGGAAGCCTGACAAAATGTTTCAATTGTGGGAAGCTAGGGCACCGAACCTTCGAGTGTCTCTTAAAGACCAATGGGGCACCAGTGCACCAGGTGCAATACCGTGATGGAGGAAGACCAGATATGAACCAAGCTGGGCCAAATGGAGGACAAAATAACGACAATGCCGCCGCCGCCAACAACAACCGCAACCCTCGAGGAGGAGGGGAGAATAATCGTGGCAATGGCAATGGCGGGAACAATGGCAACGGCGGAAACAACGGCAACCGTCCGAACCAAGGGCGAATCATGGTGATGAATCAGGCCCAAGCCAATGCTAATGATGTGGTTTCAGGTACATTCCTTGTAAATTCTGAGCCTGCTTATGTTCTATTTGATTCTGGTGCTTCTCACAGTTTCATATCTTCTAGTTTCGTTAAGAAATTGAAGATTGAACCAACGGCTAGAATAGACTTGAATGTAAGAACCGCCTCAGATAAATTTGTAACTTGTGGAAATGTATACTGACTATACTCCAACATTTCCATACTCATATCTGAATCCAACCTACATGGAGATTTAATCCAATTTGACTTAAAAGATATAGACATAGTACTGGGCATGGATTGGTTGGGGAAATACAAAGCCAGGATCCTCTGTGATGAACAGAAGGTAATCTTGAAGGGTCCAAATGGGAAGCGAATATCTTACAAAGCAGTCACATCCAAGCCTAGCATGAAGTTGATGACTATGCAACAATTAAAGCGCCATATCCGAAAGGGGTATGAAACCTACCTGTGCTTTATGAAAGAGGTGAATACAGGGGAACCAAACATTGACCAAATTGTCGTAGTCAATGAATTTCCGGACGTATTTCCGGAAGAGATTCCAAGTATGCCGCCTGAGAGAGAAGTTGAATTCTCAATTGAGTTGATGCCCGGAATCGCGCCAATTTCAAAAGCACCTTACCGAATGGCACCGAAAGAAATGCAGGAGCTGAAGGAACAACTAGAGGAGTTGTTAGAGAAGGGGTACATAAGACCGAGTGTCTCACCTTGGGGCGCTCCGGTCTTATTTGTCAAAAAGAAAGATGGGAGTCTAAGGCTATGCATCGATTACCGAGAGTTGAATCAAGCAACTATCAAGAACAAGTATCCATTGCCCCGAATTGACGACTTGTTTGATCAATTGAAGGGGGCTAGCACGTTCTCTAAGATAGACTTGCGCTCTGGATATCATCAAGTGAGAATATCCGAAAAAGATGTACCAAAAACAGCATTCCGCACGAGGTATGGACACTACGAGTTCACTGTGATGCCATTTGGTTTAACAAATGCACCGGCGGTATTCATGGACCTAATGAACCGTGTATTCCGACCTTATTTTGATACATTTGTGGTGGTATTCATCGATGATATTCTTGTGTATTCAAAAACCCCGGAGGATCACGAGAAACACTTAAGACTCACGTTACAAACTTTGAGAGAGAACCAGTTGTATGCCAAACTCTCAAAGTGTGACTTCTGGCAGGATCGGGTAGCGTTCTTGGGCCACATCATCACCCAGGAAGGCGTATCCGTAGATCCATCGAAGATTGAAGCGGTGGTTGACTGGCGTGCACCTACCTCGGTCACAGAGGTAAGAAGTTTCTTGGGTCTGGCAGGATACTATAGGAGATTTGTTAAAGATTTCTCCAAGATAGCAAGACCGCTAACCAACCTGACAAAGAAGACAACCAAGTTCCAATGGAATGAAGATTGTGAAGCAGCATTCCAAGAGTTGAAGAAAAGACTCACAACTGCGCCGGTCTTGACACTACCGGCAGGGACAGAGGGATTTGATATCTATAGTGATGCATCCAAGAAGGGGTTGGGGTGTGTGCTGATGCAGAATAGGAAAGTGGTGGCTTATGCATCAAGACAACTAAAGGTGCATGAAGTCAATTATCCTACCCATGACCTGGAGTTAGCTGCAGTAGTGTTTGCTTTGAAAATATGGAGACATTACCTATACGGAGCACATTGTAAGATATACACTGACCACAAAAGCTTGAAGTACATATTCACTCAAAAAGAGCTTAACATGAGGCAAAGAAGATGGCTCGAGCTTATCAATGATTACGATCTAGAAATCCAATACCACGAGGGAAAAGCTAACGTGGTGGCGGATGCTTTGAGCCGGAAATCTGGGCACTCATGCCGAGCAACATGGATATTACCAGAAGAACTATTCCGAGACTTCCAAAGATTGAGCTTGGAAGTAAAGCAATATGGCGAAGTAGATGGTGAAATACAGTTATGTACTATGACTGTTATACCATCTATCTTTGATGAAATCAAGAACGGACAATCGGGAGATGTAAAGCTCGAAAGAATCAAGGAAGGAATGAAAGATGGCGTCAACGGACCATTTAAGGTACATGAAGATGGGAGCAT